CAGCATTAGTATTGTGCTGCAAGCAAAAAATGCACATAGGGCATTTTATGCTGCTGAAGTTAATGTTTCATATTAGGCAAGGCAGATTTATAGAACATTTTCATACATAAAGGCAATTCAAAATGCTTAACACAATGCACACAAATAGATAAAACATTCAAATGCATATTGTATATACTGTAGATAAAACAGAATGCAAATGAGATTAAAACATAAATGCAAACTACAAGTAACAAATCATTGGGTTGAAGAAAGAAAAGGAAAATCAAAAATAAAAGCAGTTAAAGTGCAAATGGGTGAATTAAGATATATTAACTAAAAACATTAGTATAAGAAGGCCATGTAAAGCACATTACCAGGGTGTTTTTAACTAAGATCAAACAAATCATTTAAAAATATATGCACGATTACCCTGCCAGGGTTGTACATGTACAGTATTTGCTGAGTGCTGACTGAAGAAAGGCAAAGAAAGATGTTTATCCTCTGCCTCCCTGCACCGTAAAAGCTCATGTGCTGACAGGTAGACAACAGCACATAAACTCTTACTGTTCAGGGCTGAGAAGTAATTCTCTGACACACACATTTGTTTTCATTCCTCATGGGAACTTCACAGTGACTTACATTCATTTCCTGGAGATTTACCCTAACCATAACCACTACTTGCCAAACTCTAAGCCTAAACTAACTTTATCCTAACATTAAATCAATTTGTCACCCTAACCCCAACGTTTACCCCTAAACCAAATTCTAACCATGACCCTGAAATCAAGTATTAGCCCTCCAAACAGCCCTTTGAAGATGTGAGGGATGGCTACATATCATTATGATCATACAATTTCTTCACACACTAACACTAATGAACCACTATAGAGGTATACTGTTTGTTATTACTTGGGATTTCTTAATCTTGTCAGTGTGAAAATGGTTTGTATATTATAGCATGGAAATGCTTCAAATGAATTTTAATATAATTAAGATAAACAATATCAAATAAGATTTGTATCAGTTTTAGACCCTGCCTACACTTCAAGCACATTTGGTGCTGGTGCAAGGCTAAGAAAGTCAGTAACCCATGAAGGTTGTATGAGCTTTATTGTGATCATTACTTTGGTAGCTATGTGATTATTTGTTTAGTTTGGAATGCTTCAAAAAATTACTTTTCAACTGAATAGTATTCACCATCACTTAGCTGCACAAGCACCGCAAATGCTATCTATGGCATTACTGCAGTGTCCCCATTTCAATGTCCAAACCTCCAAACTCTCTGAATCTAAACAGGATTGTGCAACAGTGTTCACATTTTTTTGCATATGGAAGCCAAGAAATGCCTCTCGCTGTCCAGACTCTACCACAGTCTTCTTCCATAGTCAGGATGACTAATATTTACCCCAGTAGTGTCAGTTAGGCACCTATAAGGAGAGCCAAACCACAGCTGTCCCCGCCAGGGCCCAGCCAGGGCCTCTAAAACAGTCAGTAAAGCACACAGGCAGACAAATGACTGGAGATGACATCATACATCAAACGGCTGCTGCCCTGACTTCAGAAGGCCACAGCTGTGTCCCCACTTCACCTCTGTACTTGCTCAAACAACAGTCAACACTACCACAAGATTTGAACATATTAAATATCTGGAATTAAAGCGGTGTTTCTTACCAAACACACCCACACTAAACAGACTAGGTGGTCAACCACAGTCGTTGATTTTAAAGTTTTCAAAGTGATAGGGCTGTCCAGCTGCTAAACAAAAAACTGACAACGTTGTAAGTATGAAATCAGTGAGAGGGATAGATAGAAAATATGCTATATGTCACGAGTGGATGAGGAGAATTAGTTTTGGCCTCAGACAAAATAAGTTTTTTTCCGCACAAACAAGGAAACCACAAAATAGAAAACCAGGAGTGTGCGAGTATGCACGCATGGACTAACAAATGACACCCATATGGAGGAAAAACTATGCAGATACACACCCACCCATGCACGCACCTACACTGCCTGTTATTTGCGCCTAGACATCACACTGCGCATAGATTTCTCCACTGCGTAGTTTCCTGTCATTGGTTGACATCAGCCAACTTTACTTGACTTTGGTGTTACTTAACTATCAGTTTCACAGACAACTCTATATACACTCCCTCTGTTAGCTCTGTTATGTGTCAACACACTTTGCACATGTCAGATACACTGCACATCTCACCATCTCTCATATCACGGCATTGTTTTCTTCTTCTATGCAAATTATGCAGGTGTACATGCACGTCTACTCACAGACAAACACAAACCACCCACCCAGTGACACACAGAGGAGGGACGCAGAGGTGTATGGTTAAATCCCAGGTGATACTGGACACAGGCCATGCCTCTGGAAAACATCCAACATGATGTTCTGTCATATCCATATGCACTAGCATGCCACTTTAACAGTGCAAGCACACATGCTGACATGCACAAATGTAAATTAACTTAAATTCAGTATCAATATTTGACACAAAAATCATGTTTAAAATCCAAACTACCAAACAGTCCTCAGCTTCTTCTCTTTGTTAGAATCAGCACGTTTTATCTGTGCTGTTTATATAAAATGACAAAAATAAAAGTAATGATGAATAGATGGAAAAATGCATGTAAATCCATTCAGTCCTTGTTTGAATTTCCTGTGATCACAGGTTATTCCAGTGAAAGCTGTCAGCAGTGGATGCTGTAGCAATAGTTGGTCAGCTCTCTTAGTGTTTGGACAAGCCTGAGCCATGGGATGACCAGGCTCTTTGGAGTTTAAGTGCAAGTCTTTTATAGTTGCATGCACCACATGGTCCCTCCCCTCCTTCCGTCTCCCATAACAACAAACGCTCCATAATCAAAATAGAGCCCATCTGTGCTTTGACACACCCCTCTGCCCTTTGCTCCATTCCCCATACGCCACTGGGGGAAGAGGAAAAAGTCATCTTTGAATCGTGGCAAAAACTTGGACATGCCCTTACTCTCCCCTTTTAACGACAACAGCCAGAGAGAGGCAGACTGGGAGTGGGTGGGAAGGAGAGGGAGGAAGGGAGGCTAACTCCACCCTCATCTGTCTCTGTCTTTCATTCCATTATTTCCCGGTTGTTGTGCAACAGGGGGAACAGATTCCTGAGAAGAGAGTCACAGTTCTGTTGTAAAACTTACTGGCAAAAGTGACCCTCTGTGTTTTTCTTTTAGTTTCCCTTGCTCACTCACTCTCTCCATTCATCTCTACTTGTTATCAAAACCATGTGTATGAGTGTGTGTATGAGTGTGTATGCCGTTAGGTCTTGGAGGGACACAAGGGCCACAGGGGAGCTCAGGAGAGAATGAATATGAGCGATGCGATGGAGAAACAAGACCACAAAGCCATAATATCTTTGTGCGTGTGAATGGCGGCAAAGGCTCATTAGATGCTTAAACAGGTGACATTTGATAAACATGAGGCAGATTGGTAAAAAGAGCAAGGGCGTGTGTTTCCAAGAGAGGACGTCGATATTGAATAGAAGCGGTTTTCCTAAGGAATGGCATCTCAGCTACACAATTAGCCACTCACAACAGCACACAGTTGTCTGCATCATCTATCTATTTATTTGCTTCAAGAGTGGATTTTGAAATATGCAGACAAACAAAACTATTTTTGTCCACATCATATGATAGGGTATGTTACACCCAAAGCTGTTGACAGACAGGATGTGGAAGGGAGGAGGATGTTGAGGAGAGTTCGAAAAGAGGTACAGGCTGGTGGGAGATGAACAAAAAAAAGGAGGGGGGTTGAGAGAGGTAGAGAGGAGAGAGCACACATCTGGAAACAATCGAGGCGTGAGTACAGTCTGACATGCACATGCTTCAGCTATAAAAGAACAACATGTGCTTGAACCATGCCCATTTGAGTGTGTGCCTAAACCCGACAATATAACCTGCATGTAAAGAAACATGTTGATACATCCCTGAAACCAAAACCCCCGGAGCAGTCATTACATTGTCTCTGGATGGCAGACCAGTATTTCATACCTCCACAAAGCAGATACTACACACTGCAATGCAACGTTAATATACGTGAAAATGGCTCAGTAACCACACAACAATGTGCAAATGTGACCCTATAGAGCATTAATCATTCACATCTGAAATGCGGTCATCCTAGTCTACCTTCATTTGTAAAAGCTGTTTTGTTACAGGAGTAGGTTCTACTGTTACACAGCTGACACAACAATGCACAGGCAAAGCAAAGTTTTGTAAAGCTATGATATTCAAAATGTCACTCAAACTCATTATTAAATTAAGTGTTCCACTGCAGCTCTGATATAAAATTCTTTTCATAACTTTCCACAATCAAGGTTAACGTGTTCCCGGAACCTAATAATGTCAGTCCTTCCCTGGTATAGTTTTTTTTTTTTTTTTAAAGGGAAAACACATTTTATCTTTTAATACTGATTACTGCAAAAAATCACTGAAAATACATTAGCTTATTCCTGTAAAACAAGTTATTTAGAACATTTTCTGATATTCATCTCATTTCCAACTTGGCTTAACAAATTCCCCCGACTGTTTCTGTCAATATTTCTAAGGGCTTCAGTGAACTTCAAATAAAGTGCTTGTGAGATCATACAGCATCTGAAATGCCTTTACTGAATGTGGAATAAGAAGGCCTGCATTTAGGCACTTTACAAAACAGCCAATGCTACAATCACAACGCTGTTGCAACGGATTTGGTTTCCTGAGGTACAACACCATGAATGTCTTCGAACAGACCTGTGTGATTTCTTGCATCAAGGGCACAGACAGTTGCAGAAGATTGTTCTTGGAGAAAGCAAGTAGGTAGGGCGATGCAGCCTGGAGATGGCAGGCTTTTAGTGTGACCAGTCAGACACAAAGGAAACAATGGAGATCACCTGTAGGTATTTATTTGAAGCATACTGAAACCAGTACCTTGACCTACTCTCACTCAACACAGATATCAGCAGGGACGGCAGTGGCCTACCCATAAATTTGTGCATGATAAATTAAGATAAAGTCACAAATATACATTGAACTCAAAAACATTCATGATACAATTTACATTTTAGCAATTAATTAGGCAATAAATAATAAAAATATCACACAACTAAAAAAAAAAACAGAGACCAGAGTACATAAACAGTTGTGTTGTATTTATTGTCTGTTACAAGATGTCTTCCCTGAGATGGACAGCAGTCATCACACCGTTCTGGATGGATCAGATCAGATCAGAACACATAGGCCCTCTGAACTTTTTACTTAAAATTGGCACAAGATTTTTCTGAACATTAAATAATGAGCATTCCCTGGTGAGGCAGCGCTCGAGTCTTAGTCAGTTTGTAGCTCTTCATTTGGACCAGACTGAGTGTCTTCTCACTGGAACTTTTTGAGAAAGTCCTGGTAAACCTGCCTGTGAGCTGACGCAGCAGGAACAAAATGGCCACCAGGGTGTGTCAGGACCTGAGGCTCTTGGAAGGAGAGGAGTAGCTCCCTGCTCATGTTGTCAGGGATGACTCGATCCTCCAGTCCAAACACATGCAGGGAGGGGATTGTGAGGGGAAAATTGTAGAATTTTTGGTGTTCCTTACATGCGCTGCAGAAACCAGCGACCAGGATGGCAAAGCGAAAACTGAACTCTGGCTCCAGTTTCTGCTCCTGTAGAAAACACAGCATGGCCACAAAAGCTGCTCCTTGACTAAAGCCCATGATGCCGTCAAACGGGCCTAGGTCCTTCACAGCTGCTCTCACAAATGACACGCTCTCGTCGAGCCCCAGGCTTTCCTCACACAGTTGCTGAGCACTGAAACTTCGAGCATGGATGTCAGAAAACCACCAACCCCTGGGGTCCTCGTTGGCACCAGGGCCTGAGCCATTCTCCTTCTCTGGAGCTTATGACAGGGCAGAAGAAGAAAGCAGTTATTCTGCTGTGTTAAATTATTTAGAATTCAAATGGGAAGCACAAATGAGTGGACCAAAGGTTTCTTTCATCCTCTAAATCTTTACATGACATTAGGATATAAAGCATTTTTTGGATTACAACAGTAATTTTGTTGCACAGAAATAAGTCAGCATTTCCAACATTTTCAGTAATCCTAAAAATATTTAGGTGAATATTTAAATCTGCATGACTGCAGTTTTCAACCTGATGACTAACTGCAGTTTTAAATTAGCATGATTTGACATAAAATTGTTTGGTTGGATAATAAATAAAAAGAATATATGAAAATGAGTGGCACATTCATGAACTCTTAAATCTCAGTGAAAAATTATATTGTAAACTAAACTAAGTTACTGAATTAAATAGGGAGAAAACTGTATTACAAAATAAATGTCAGAGGTTACCCCACCTTCACTGCTGGCCTGCTGCACAAGGTGCGGTGCACTCAGGTAAACAAGCTCCACTTGTTTTTTCAGCAGCTTCCGCAGAGCTCCCGTCTTTTCACGGAACGAGATGCCGTTCTGACGGTA